TCAATGTTTTTCTTGCCTAATAAAAGGATAAGAAAACCCCAACAGAACAGCTTACTGTTTGCAACTGCATCTATATCCCAACAGCCAAAGTGCTAAAGGTGCTCGCACAAGAATAAGCCTTCACAGGTGTTTTAAGGTTAGGTAACCTAGCGGGACTTAATCAGAACATATTATATATTAAGAGTTAAGAATTACCATATGCACAACCATCCTCCTAAAATTAACTTCTGAAATTAAAATATATTTATAAGTTAATCTGACTTGTTTGTTTGTTTTTCAAAACAGCGTTTAGAGATCCTGTGTAGCCCTTACTGTCCTTGAACTCACTTTGTTGACCAGGCTGGCCTCCAACCTGCCTGCCTCTGACTCTCAAGTGCTGGGACTAAAGGAATGTACCACCACACCCAGCTCTGATATTTTCTTAAAACCAAAAAAATACACCATATTTATTACCCCTCACCCACCCTCAGATACAATTGCCATGCTTTCTTTGGAGACTTTAACTCTACATGCATAAGTCAGACAGGAAAGTTAATGAAGATAAGCAACTTTATAACAATCCTGAAAGCTAGGATGGTTTGACCAACCCAGAATTAACATTCTCAGATAAACTCGAACTCACTCTGCTGGTGACGATAGAATTTTGGAAGAGACAGCATGTGCGAGCAGCCAGGTCCCACAGGCCTCTCCTCAACAGGCGTTCCACACAGCGTTCCACAGACAACAGGGAAAGATGTGAGATTTTCCCATTAAAGTGTAAACAGAACAACTCATTCTTATAGACAGCTACATCCTGAATATCTACAAAAAACCACAAGGGTGAACAGACAAGACATTAATCAAACACCTTTTGCTCTTTTTGTAAGGCCTGGACTAGGGAAGCAGCTTGGTGATAGGCTCTTGCCTAGAATGTACAAGACCCCTTCTCTTGATCTCTAGCAGTGGAAGGGAAATCCAATCATCTTTACATGGGCTACAATCTTAAACAAGATTTGCCTTGCCAGGCGGTAGTGGCACATGCCTTTAGTCCCAGCACTCAGGAAGCAGAGGCAGGTGGATCTCTGTGAGTTCAAGGCCAGCCTGATCTACAAAGCAAGTTCCAGGACAGCCAAGGCTACACAGATAAACTCTGTCTAGAAAAAAAAAAAAAATTGGCTCAGTGGAATTTTATTTCTTTTTATACATGTACTTCGATAAATCATATTTAGATACTTTTCTAAGATTAGAAAACAAAGAACCACAGCTTTCTGATCTAAAATCCTAAGCTTAAAATGCTATTTCCTACGAAAAGGAATTGGGAGTGCAAAAGTAGGGAATATGCTTTGAGTCAGACTATAACATTTGAGAAAATTACAACCTGGTGTTCACATGCAAAGATTTTAACAAGTATATAAATGAATGAGTTACACATGAGGAGGTATCTGTCTCGGCTGAACACCTTGAAAGAATTTAACATACTAGTTTTTGAGGGACATACTCAATTGGGGGGAAAAAACCTATAAAAAAGAATCAATGTGGATCAATAATGACCCCCTCTTCTCTCTGAAGAAAAGACTCCCAAAGTCAAAGCCAAAGCATTGTCTTACCAGGAATGCTAAACTTCCCCATATTTCTGGTTTTAACCATGAGTACAGGGGCTGATTTTCTGTTAGTCACATACAATGACTATTCCCTGCATTTTCAACTTCTCACATTATAAAATAATCATAATACAATTAATTTTCACACACAATTAAGAAACTAAGTTACCTAAGAAAGAAAAATATAATTACCCTTGACTTCACTCCAAAGAAGAACTTGAACATTCTGAGGAATAAAAATATAAATTCCTTTTTCTGTCCAAGTCAGCACACAGTGTTCACTGGAAGAGAAAATAAGAGGTAAAAAAACAAAACAAAAACCCCTCATGTTTACTAGAGCATAGAACTTTTCAATTCTCTGGACTCAATCTCTCATTGGCTATTGAAGTAAAATCAGACTGTGCAAAGAAAATACAGCAGTGGCCCAGCTGATCAAACTTTACCATCTCCTTTCTGAGCCCAATAATAGCATAGCATCAGATAGTGTCAAACTGGGAAAATTTAGACACAAACACAAGTAGCTTCAGAAAAAGAAAAAGCTGATACTTAGAAAAATAAAAGCCTATTAAGGACTTACGTGACCCTTATTCAACTTCTCAGATAAAATAGACAGATACTCATTTAAACAGATCAGCAAGTTATAGTCAATCACCTCAGGAGTCCCTCAGAAGCAAATTCTGACTTCATTAGTATATGTAGGTGACAAAAGGCTAAGAAGACCTGGCCAACTCCATGCCAAAGGTATCATGAAGGGCTCCAGCTAGATCATCTAATGAGGCCCATCAGCTCCATGTGTTACTTTGTCAGAGAGCTGAAATCACATATCAAGATCACTCAGCATGAAGGTAGAAAGCCTCACATTTAGACTGCGGAGTGCAGCCTCCAGAGCTGGAGCTTCCCTCTGAACCTCACAGAACTTTCTCCCTCATTTACCAACAGAAACTCATTCCCTCTTTCCTGGGGTCCTGATTAGGCAACTTTACAGAATTCTCAAAAACTAACAGATTGTCTGACTATCATCACCAACAATCCTGTCATCATCCCCCATTTTTGTGATTCCCAGGCAGATAACTGATCCTTTTTCAGACTTCCCTTCACATCCCTGGCTCTCCACCTGCCTCTCTTTTTCTGCTTGTCTTTTTCTATTCCAGTTGACTTTCAAGTGTGAGTATATCTATATATGTCACTTGCTTTCTCATGACCGCCAAGTTTTTACAAAGCACACATCATCCCCTCTTTCTCTTGGTCAGAGCATTGCCCAGCTGCAATCTCCCACTCTAGCCACTCTCAAAGGATTAGCAGATCTACTTTCCTCTGCTACTGCCCCACAGTCTAGCACCTCCGCCTGCACTTGGCTGTTTCTTATCCACCCACTCACTGCTTTATGGTACACTACAATCTTTTTTGCAGAAATAAACATCTCTCCAAGAAGTTTATAGTCCTGAGAACTTAGAGCTTTTTTCCATATAAACCCAACAGTACTAAAAATGATTCATGTAGCTATGAAAGTAACAGCAATATTGAATGGCATTTGTGTGCTTGTATTAAATATTAAACATTTTGTCAAGTTGGAAGTCAAGATCTCTATCCCTACAAGAAAGTAATCTATGTGACAAAGATGAAGGATATGGTAAAAGTCCTAATTCAAAATCAGTAAAATTGGAAAAATACCTTTAAGAGCCAGAGGGGAATGACAAGACAATCACTGGGTAAAGAGATATATGATCATGAGTTTGCAAAATTTATTTTTTTAATTACATTTTGTTTGGTTTTTTGTTTGTTTGTTTGTTTGTTTGTTTTTCCAAAATGGAGTTTCTCTGCGTAGCCCTGGCTCTCCGGGAACTCAGAGATCTGCCTGCTTCCACCTCCTGGGGACTAAAGGAGTGTGCCACCACACCAGGCTAAAAATTCTATTTTTATTTATTTTGTATTTGTATGTGTATGGGAATGCATGTGACATAAAACACTTGTGAAGGTCAGAGAACCACGTGCAAATATCTGTTCTCTCCTTTGACCATGTGGATCCCAAGGATCAAACTCAGGCAGTCTGGCTTGGCGGCAAGGACCTTTATCCATTGAGCCATGTCAGACACCCAACCTGCAGGGGCTAAGAGATGGCTCCGCAGCTAAGAGCACTGGCTGCTCTTCCAGAGGACCTGGGGCAATTCCCAGCACCCACATGGCAGCTCACAACTCTCTGTAACTCCAATTCCAGGGGATCTGACACCTTCACACAGATATACATGCAGGCAAAACAACAATGCA